CGGGTTACCCAGAGAGGTGGTGGACTCTCCATCCTTGGAAGTATTTAAGAGCAGGTTAGATAGGCACTTGGCTGAGACAGTTTAGTCAGGGATGATCCTGCCTTGAGCAGGAGGAGGAACTAGATGAACTCCAGAGCTCCCTCCCAACCCTACTACTCTATGACAGGCAAAGTCCATTTTATCCCTATTTCCATTTAGCATCTATACGTTGCGTAAACATAATTAAAAAGAGTATTCACACGAGAATACAAAATCTGTAAGTGTCACTGCTTCAGAATAAGGGGACTAAAAAGGCACTTTTTATCCAGGGATTCTTCCAAAAACAGAATCTATAGATTCTGGAAATGGAAGAGGTTTTCCTCCAGATTTTAGATTCACTTAAACTTAATCTCATATAGGCATATTTTTTTAAGTAGCATTTTAAAGTCTTTTCCTTCCACAATAATCAGTCTGCTGTACTGTCTTGACTGCACTACAGCTAGAGATGAATTAACACAGCCTGATATTTGTGAATTGCTTGCGTTACTCTTAATTGAGCACTAACATCAAACACTGGCATTAAACATTTTAAAAACTGTGGTGGTGTAGGCAATGTCTCGGGTTTGGAAAAAAAATACGATGGAAGGTCTCTTTTTCTAATTTAAATTATTATAATTACCAGAAAAATATATACAAATTGTACTTAGGGATTCACATTTTTCAGCATGTCTTCAGTCACATCTTTCAAAATACTTGAAACCCAGATCTCAATCCGGCCTCGTAAGAGGAGCAGGGTTCTGAATTTATTGCTGGCCTAACCTTTCTCCTCTGAGAGAGAGGAGATAGGAGGTTTGGGATGATCTTGTCAGCTTCCCGATTCACCCAGTTGATTTTCAATGTTAACATACTGGTGGAGTTTAAAATAGTTTTAAAAAGCCATAATCGCATCTTAAAATATTACCTAATAGCAAAGTATAAAAGCAAGGCAAATGGTGTCTTGTATGAGAGAGAAAGAACCTTTATGGAAATTCCCCAGGGATTCTGATTACTATTTTGGCAGATTTCTAGTATCCTTCATGGAAACTAGAAACTCAGCTCATTCAGGACCCAAGTTGCCGATCAGACCCCGCATAAACACATATTTGTTGATGGACAACTGTCATCACTGTCATGCTTCCCTGAAGCACATTTTGGCATGTTCTGCATAGGTTTTTACACTATCATTTGAGATATTTGAACAGGTGGACATGTGCAGCGTAATCAACTCTGAAATATGGAAATTAAGAACACACCTGGGAAGGAAGGGGGTGGGAAGGGGATGGAGGTGCAAGAGGAATGATGAGCAGGATGGAGGGCTTCATCATCCAGGTTTGTTCTGCGAATCCACGCTGGAACCCCTTGACTGGAGGAAGGAGGGACCGCAGGTTCAGGAGCGCCCAAATTCTCTCAGCAGTTTGTTTCAACTCCTAAGTCAGAGACGAATCAAAGACATGCTCTGTCTTCTCAAGAGACCATGTTCATTCCCAAAGACTAGAGACATACGCTACAGAAACTCCAAGGCTCATATTGTGGGCCCTGGTCTAATCATAGCGACATGCTGGTCCATTTCTATCTTAAGGTCCAGGATTAGCTGCCAATTAACGTGGGCACAAAGTAATTTTGGACTCATACAAATAATAATAATAATAATAATACTATCCTCGACTAGTCCTTCCTGGACTACATGGGGTCAAACGTGCTAAGCACTCTGATGATCCCAGGTTGGCAGGACAGTGCTTAATTGTTCTAGTGCCTGGAAGCTGAAGCAACCTTATTTGTCTCCCTTCTGGCCCCTGATTCAGGAAGGTGATCAACAGCCACCCTCATAACCCTCAATTCCTGAGCTGAGGACTGCACCTCTTGAGATCACAGCTCCAGAGTAACATAATTAGCCTCTTATGACCCAAATGTGGAATAATCAAAATGGAACGACAAAGCCCCGATCCTCCACAGGGTACCAAAACTCAGCTCCCTACATACTCCACCAGCAAGAGACATGGCAGGGCTGTACTGAAACAACTGATTCGGCAGGTGAGACGCTTTTCTGGCCACATCATCTTTCAAGTCCTTCCACAGCCCCTTCAGACTGGAAAAAAAATAGAGCCACCTTCTGTCTTGTTCACTCTTTAAAGAATTTAATACCCAAGTGAGACGCCTAATGTTGCCTGTTTCCTATTTTCCCCCCTCTAGAAAAATACCAAGGTATGAAACTATAAATGGTAGAAAAACAATCTGAAAGTCTTTCTACTAAATTCTTATTTCAAGTCTGACTTCAGTTCTCCTGCGCTGGCCAATCGCAATGACTTCTCTTTCAAATAAGCTAGAGCGGCCATGCTTTGGGGAAATCGTATTCCCCATACGACCAGCTTAGTTTATTGATCTTTGTTTTATTGCACTACATATGGCCTCAGACAATAAATACCACATTACTAAATTTTGTCAACTGTTCCTGTTCAGCAGTAGTCTATTTGTGCACATGCATTAGATGGAAATATGAAGTTATACAACTGCTACTTATTTTAATAGTGGCTTTTATGTTGCATAAACATATTGCTTTACAGCATTTCATTTCTGTGCGTGTCTTATCCTACAGTGCAGATGTAAAAAGCAGGAAGCTGAATAAAAACCAATATCTCATCTGGAAATAATGATGAACTTCTCCACCTTCTAAATCTTGCCATTCCAGCCTAATGTCTATTTACTTTATGTTATGCAAGCCTCCTTTCTGTGGAGGCTTAGCTTCCTTAGAGGATACAAACTTCTGAAGAGATTAGGGTATTTCCAGTACTTTGGGCCCCATGCATACTAGGGAAATTGAAAAGTCTGCCGCTAGACTATTGTTGCACACGATGGCAGAACTTAAATAATATTGGCTGTGGGCTGCCAAAGCCATTTTTAGCATCGTGTGGATTAGACCTCAGAGAAAGTCCAACTATTACTGAAAGTGACGTTCACATTTCATTTTAAGCAGAAATGGTGCGTAAAAGGGATATGTAAAAGTTTATTGACTCAGGGCAAAGCCTTGGTCCAATAAGGCAAAATTCCTTTTAAGCCAACTACAACTTCATCTTTGTAGTGTCATTTTACTTTGACTTACCCCAGTGTAAAATTTAAATTGGAGCTACTTCAAAATAGACGTTATTAAAGCTAGATATAGAAACTGTTAAATGAAACTCAAAGACTGGCAGCATATGAGAAATCAGATTAGATTGGGGTGCTCAGCCCCCAGACCAGATCCAGATCCAGATCCAGATCCAGATCCAGATCCAGATCC